TCAGGATCCTGCACTTGCCAGGCCAGCACTTATTCTACTGAGCTATCTCCCCAGCCCGAGAAAAATAAGTTTTGACTTCACTTCCTGAATATTATTTCTAGAGCTTTCAAAAATTGTAAAAATGAGCTATACATATATATAGTCATTTAATCTAAAACATTAAACAATGAAAAGGAGAAATTCAGTTCTAATGTGTTATAAAATGACATAAATAATTATTATTTATGTGTATAATAACCATCCAACTATCAAGGGTCCAAAAATCAATTGAAATACTGTGGTTCTAGATATCCCCGTAAAGCCCAGGTGTTGAAAGTCCAACTCATCTATGTTATGTCTTCTGTTGTTCCCTAATTGCACTCAAAGACCTAGGGTAATCAATTTTAAACTAGCTTTAATTCCTGCAATATATATGCTTTTCTATGTGTCTAGACATTCCCTTTTCCAGTCTAGTTCTTTAGTGTTACTTATCTCTCCAGCACATAAAGTAGCTCTCATTCTTCCTTCTTTACAGTAAATAGATAAAGAAAGGAACAAGGTTGCTTGTGCAAAAGCTTTTTTGCAAGCAAGGGAATGTTTATGTGCGGGGGAGAGTGAATGGGTGCCTTTGATAAGGGAACTGAATCTAATAGTGTACACTTCAAGTCTCACTGCTGTGAATACTGTGCCTTTTTATAAACCTCACTGTGACCACAGGCTTGGGGCAATATCAAAGACTTTGTAAAACTGTCTAAGAGAGCTCAGGCTCCACCTGCTGGCCAAGTGGGCAGCCCCACCAAAGGCCTCAAGGATTTCAGTGTGTGTGGAACAAGGAGTTGCGCAGGGAAGGCAAAAGCACCGTTACACAGGTAGACAAGAGAGGACACTTAGAGAGGGAAGCACCCAGGCCAGGTCTTCACCAGAAGCAATTCTGTTTGGCTTCCTCTTGATAAGAAACAACTGCGGTTGTGTTTTCTTTCCCCCCAACCTTATTATAATTTGGTTTTCATTATTTCACTTCTAAGTAATTCAATGGCTCCCAAGGTTATGCTTCTAGACTCTCATTCCTTGGCTACTTTATGAGGACTTGTGTGTGAACTCCTGGTCATACATCTAACCACAAGAGCTGAGGCCCACTAAGGGTTGCGTGAAGCATGTCCATTTCTTTCTTTCACAGATGTGAAATGTGTCTTAATGCTATGTCACCTGCTAGCCTACCAAAGTCAAACTTTTCCTCAAACCCAGCTTCATGACAGGTTTCTATATCCTGTCTGAGAACTGATCCCTACTTACATTTTTTTTTAATAACTGGTTTCTTTGGTGTGTCTCTCTCAGAATTAAAGTTTGGCTTTAAAATTTTCTCAGCTTGAACTAACATCTGATTGTGACACTAAAGGGACAAGATTTTGAGTTTCAGTTCTTTTAACCTAATTTTTGATAAACTTTGGACCCATGTTACATCCTTAATAAAGCATTTCCAGAGAGCATTTACATCTAGTAGAATCTACCAAGCAGTATGCAAGCTACATAATTTCAGGACTCTTTCTACACTATGAAGTGGTAAAATTATCTGTGAAATATAGAATGGATTTTTAAAACCTAACTCACAAGAGCATCTTGTCTAAAACCAAAAGATTTTGGTATAAGAAAAATGAAGATTCTTTCTATCATCCCTAACATATTTTAAAATTTTCACTGAAATAAAAAATGGAATACCATGGCCAGTAAAACACAATGAAACAATTGTGGCTAGGTTTTGCACGACCTTCTATACAGCTACAGAAACAAATATACCATTTTGTGGCCATGTATGAATGTTTCTATGATAATATTTATAACCAGTTACATAGGGATTTGAAATTCACAAAGTCTAAACAGAAAGATTATACTACATGAAAGAAATCTAGGTATACAGTCCACGTAGAATTCTCTATTTTATACTTCTGTATGATAATTTACAATGCAGAACTTTACTTTTCGTTATTCTTTTCCTTTGAGGTATGCCAGTTGTTCCTTTAATGTATTTATTTTTGCATTGTAAAACCCCAGTTGGGATTGAACATAGACTTTTTCTCCTGTAAAATGCATTACTCTAAAACTGCAGTATAGTGAAAAAATGAGCCTTTTCAAAATGTATTTCCTATGAAGAATAATTAGGTGTTCAGCCCCTGGCATACACACTACACATTTAGCCTGTGGAATACATATCCAGCCAGATAACCTGCTGACTAGGTGTGGTGGCCAGGTGCCTCCAATCCTAGCATCCTGACGGACTGAAGAAGCATTGCAAGGTAGAGCCCAGCCTAAGAAACACATACAGTAGGATTGTCTCAAAATTAAAAAAAAAAATTGAAAAAAACTGGGGACATAGATCCCTGCAAAAGCTCAATTCCCAGTGACACACACACACACACACACACACACACACACACACACAAAAGCAAAATATCAACAAGTAAATAGTTTCCAAAAGCTATCACACTTAAGCTTCCTCGGGACAATTCTGCTATGTTTTCTCATAATCTCCTCGTATGCCATACTAAAAAGGGCTGAATGAGTTCAAATGATAAAGCGTTGCTCTAGAGCTGCAGCGCTGGCTGTCTTCTGGTCCTGTGAAGGTAAGGAGTGGCTAGACTGTGCGATGATCTTTCAACCTCCAGCCCAACTGCGCAGGCCTGTGGTGCTGGGTGCACTTTTCTGTATTAAAATGCATCCTTTGCCTGCTGCTTCAAATACTGAGAGACTGTATCCCAAACCCAGCTGTATACTTCTCCTAAAATGTTGCTGGTGTATTTTAAAGGAAATTTAAAACAATGATTTTTCTAGTTTATATATTTTCA